CATCATCATCATCATCATCATCATCATCATCAGCAGCATCATCAGCATCATCATCGTCATCATCATCATCATCAGCAGCAGCAGCATCATCATCACCATCATCATCATCATCAGCAGCATCAGCATCAGCATCAGCAGCAGCATCATCATCATCATCAGCAGCATCATCAGCATCAGCATCTTCATCATCATCATCATCAGCAGCAGCAGCAGCAGCATCAGCATCAGCATCATAATCAGCATCACCATCAGCATCAGCATCATCATCATCGTCATCGTCATCGTCATCATCATCATCATCAGCATCATCATCATCATCAGCATCATCATGAGCATCAGCATCAGCATCATCATCATCATCATCATCATCATCATCATAATCCTCAGCATCATCATCAGCAGCAGCATCATCATCAGCATCAGCATCAGCATCAGCATTACCATCGTCGTCATCATCATCACCATCAGCATCAGCATCATCGTCACCATCATCATCCTCGTCGTCATCGTCATCAGCATCATCATCATCAGCATCATCATCAGCATCATTAGCATCATCATCAGCATCATCATCCTCATCCTGATCCTCCTCCTCCTCCTCCTCCTCCTCCTCCTCCTCCTCCTCCTCCTCCGCCTCCTCCTCCTCCTGCGGAAGGTGCCCATGGCCCAGGGTGCCCCCAACTGTTCGCTCCTGGAGCTCCCGGGGGCCCTCTGGACCTCGTGGACGATGCTCTGGAGGCCGCGGGGGCCTCCTCCGAAATCCTGGGGGGCACCTTTGGCCAGGGGCACTTCTAGCAACACCCGACCAGGGCGGGGGGTCTTGCGCCGACCGCGGGGCCCCGCGCGGACCCTCCCTGCCCGGATGGGCCCCAGGCCCAGCAGGGCGGTGGTGCGTGGCTCCCCCTCTGCGGGCCTGCCTGTGCCCCAGGGCGGCCGCAACGTTTGAGTTCGGGCGTCGCTTACCAGGGAGGGCGACGACTGGGGGGGGGGGAGAGAGAGAGGTGCACTTCTCGGGCAGGCTCCCTCTGGGGCCCCACAGGGCCCCTCCTCTGCGGCCCTCGCTGCCCCACCAGCCATCGCCCCCCGATGGCGCGACGCCCCCCGTGGCACCCCCGCGGCCCCTGCTGCCCGCCGCCCTGGGACGCGCGGCCCCGTCAGCGCCGCGCCCCTTTGCCTCCCCTGCTCCGCCCCTCCTCGCCCGCGGCGGGCCCCTGGGGCTCTGCGCGCGAGACAGCCCCGCGCCCCGCCCCACGAGAGGCAGTCCCGGTGGGTCTCCACGGGCCCCCCCCCCCCTCCTCGTCCTCCTCCTCCTCCTCCTCCTCCTCCTCCTCCTCCTCCTCCTCCTCCTCCTCCTCCTCCTCCTCCTCCTCCTCCTCCTCCTCTCTCCTCCCCTCCTCCTCCTCCTCCTCCTCCTCCTCCCTCCTCCTCCTCCTCCTCCTCCTCCTCCTCCTCCCCTCCTCCTCCTCCTCCTCCGCCTCCTCCTCCTCCTCCTCCTCCTCCTCCTCCTCCTCCTCCTCCTCCTCCTCCTCCTCCTCCTCCTCCTCCTCCTCCTCCTCCTCCTCCTCCTCCTCCTCCTCCTCCTCCTCCTCCTCCTCCTCCTCCTCCTCCTCCTCCTCCTCCTCCTCCTCCTCCTCCTCCTCCTCCTCCTCGTCTCCTCCTCCTCCTCCTTGCTCTCCTCCTCCTCCTCCTCCTCCTCCTCCTCCTCCTCTCCTCCTCCTCCTCCTCCTCCTCCTCCTCCTCCTCCTCCCCCTCCTCCTCCTCCTCCTCCACCTCTCCCCCGAGCGGCCCGGGGCGGACTCGGCACCCCTGGCAGGCTCCTGGGGTCCCCAGGGCACCCCCCAGGCCTGGCCACCTCTGGGAGGAAAAGAGCACGGTGGCCATGACCAAGACTGAACGATGAAAGGTCGGCGTCGACCTTGGTCATCGCCCTCTGCGACCCTGGTCAATGTGCGGATCATCTTCGCAAGTCGGCGACGGCCAGCATGGGCCAGGACCAGGGGCGGCGCCGAGAAGAACCCGCGACCACTGGGTCGAGGTCGTCGTGATTCTTCCCTCGAGCCTCGCCCCGTCCAAGCCTCACTGACGAACACGGTTCAAGCACCCCTGCGCACTCCTGGGCCCCCCCCCAGGCAGCCCCAGGCCTGGCCATGCCGTCGGGCCGCATCGGAAGGATGCGCTACAAGGATGCCAGGGCCTTGGACGCCCAGGCCCATTTCGAAGCTTCTCGAGCGGGGCCTGGACAGCGAGAGTGGCCAAGGATGGGCCGAGGAGGCAAGGCTGGGATGCCCATCCTTCCTACGCGGGCTGACTGTACGGCCATCGTGCTGCCGCGAGGAACGTCAGCTTTCGGGAACGAGGTTGACCAGGGACCGACCGTCCTGGCATTCCTATCGTCCTACCACGAAATACTCTCAGAACCCAGACATGTTCCAAGAGCAAAAACAGTGTCCTTAGAACACAAACCCGATGTGTCAAAACAGGCCAGGCTCCGCCAGAAATGCTCTCTAAGAGCACCCCGTGGAAACCTCAACAGGCTCTGAGAACAGTGCCTGGCAGGGCTATGGGCGAGCCTCGGGACGCCTCGCCACTGCTTGACGAAGGGGGGCGCCTTCCTGGCCCCGGCGAGCCCCGGCCACGCGCCGGCCCCCCGACCCGGCGAGGTGGCGCGGCGACCCTGCGCGGTGGCTTGCGCGGGCCGCCCGCGGGGCACGCCACACTTGCAGCGAGGGCGCTCGCGCGCGACCCCGCGCGGGCAGCTCGCGCGCCAGTGTCAGCACGGACGACCCCGTGTTTGGGGGGCTGCCCTTATGTCGGGCGTATCCCCCTCTACAGGGGGATCTTCGACGAAAAATGAAACATGCCCCAAACATAATCAAAAAATTGTCCAAAAATAGTCTGGGGACTATCTTTTGAATATTGGTTGACCTCAAGTTTGGGGTATCTTGTAATTTTCCATCGAAAATCCCCCTGTGGGGGGACGCGCCCGACTTAAGATCTAAGGCTGCATCGCCCTGCCGGGGCCTGACCGACGAACACGGCGATGATGTCCAGGAGCGAGACGGCCAGCTCCTCCAGCCTGGCCCGCGCGGCCGGCGCCGCCTCCAGCGAGCCGACGGCGCAGCGCAGCGTCCTCATCACGCCCGCCAGGTGCCCCGCCTCTTGGGGACCCCGACCTTCCTCCTCCTCCTCCTCCTCCTCCTCCTCCTCCTCCTCCTCCTCCTCCTCCTCCTCCTCCTCCTCTTCCTCTCTCCTCCTCCTCCTCCTCCTCCTCCTCCTCCTCCTCCTCCCTCCTCCCCTCCCATCCCCATCCACCACCACCACCACCACCACCACCACCACCACCACCGTGGACGCCCGAAATGGGTACGGAAAGAACGGGTACAAGGCCCAACAGCAGCTCCTGTCCATTCTGAGCAGTCGGTGTCGCCGCGGCCTGTGTCCGTTTGAGACAGAAGGCCGCCTGCCCAACAGCGGCCGCTGGTAGGGAGCCCACAAAAGGACGTACGCGCCCAGCTATGTACATGAACACGGCCCCTCGATCTGCGAGACCGGCCGCGTGATACGAACGTTCGGGCAATGCGTACTCTCGAAACCAGCGTTGGGCTCCTAGGCTGTTGGTTTGGGGCAACATTTGGTGTTGGGCAGCGAACCCATTCTTTCCGTGCCCATTTCGGGCGTCCAAAACCACCACCACCACCACCACCGCCGCCGCCGCGGCACAGCAAGACGCCAACTGCCCAAACCTCCGACGATCTGGTGCTCGGGGGAGCGCGGTCTGCAGCCTCCTGGCTGAGCCCCCCCCCCTTCTCCAGGAAGCCGGGGAGGGCGGGGGCGGGGGAAAAAAGTCCCTGGATGCTCATTCCGGGGGCCTTCCTGGAGACACTGGCTCCACTCTTGCGTCGAAGCTGCGTCGAAAAAGTCCGTCGGTTTGAGTCGACCCTGAGTCGAACCTGTGTCGACCTTGAGTCGAACTCGAGTCGAGTTTGAGCCGAACCTGAGTCGAACTGGGGTCGAACTGGGGTCGGACAGATCCGTTAGGTGGGTCCCAAAAAGGTCCCCAAAACGAGAATCTAAAAAATCGTCCTCACCCCCCTCCCCGGGAACCGCGGGGGAGGGGAGGGCTCGAGCCGGCTTCAATCGAATCCTGCCACACGAAGGCTGGGCCCAACACCTGATCTTAATCCTACGAAGGCTCGGTGAACCTCTAAGTTGAAACCCCTACGATTGCTTGATCCGGCTCTAACAGAAGCCGACTAGTGCTGGATCCAGCTCTAATGAAAATCCGACAAAGGCTCGATCCAGCTCTAAGCGAATCCTGCTACCAGGGCTGGATCCAGATCCAATCAAGTCCTAGAGTTGGATCCAGCTCAAATAGAATCCCACTAGGCTGGATCCAGCTCTAATAGAATCCCACGAGGGCTGGATTAAGCTCTCATATAATCCTACACGGGCTAGACCCAGCTCTAATAAAATCCGACTGGGGCTGGTGGATCCAGCCCAAGTGGGATCCTACAAAAGCACGATCCAGCTCTGATCGAATCCTGCTACCAGGGCTGGATCCAGGTCTACTGAAATCCTACTAGGGCACTATGGCACGATCCAACTTGAAAAAAAACGAATATGGGCTGGATCCAACTCGAATAGGATCGCACGAGTCCCCGAATCACTTCTAATAGGATCCGGTTTGGGTCTGGATGCAGTTCTACTAGAACCTCAGTCGGGCTCGACCCAGTCTTACTGCTACCCTACTACAGCCCGACTCAGCATTCATAGAATCAATCCTACAACGGCCGAGTCCAGCTCTACTACAATCCCACTAGGGCTGGATCCAGCTGCACTGGAATCTTCCCCGCTCCCCCCACCCACCCCAACCAATGTCTGAACAGGATGGGGAGCCCTCTCAACCCCGCCCCCTCCCCACGGTTCGGAGTGGGAGACTGTTTCACCATCCCCCCACCCCCCGCCCCCCAGGTTCGAACCGGGGGCGGCTGACGTTTTCAATCCGACCTGGGACTCTCAAAAATACATCCAGGAAGACTACCCCTGGGGAAGCGGTTGGGACCACTGGGGCTGTGCTTCTCTTTTCGACACACACACACAAACAAACAAACAAACAAACAAACAAAGAAACAAACAAACAAACAAAACAAAAGTCGGATGCCGAGGTATGCGCTTGCACCGATCCTGGTCGGGCCCATCCTGGGCCAAAGATCGGCGTGCACGCCCTCCTGGCCCGGGCAGGCAGAGGTATACACACACACACACACACACACACACACACACACGCCGACCCTGGGGCCCAGGAGCGGCCTGGCCCTAGGTGGCGCCCTCCGACTGAAACGTCGACGCATGGCCACAAAAGGCGAGGGTCTCCTCCTCCTCCTCCTCCTCCTCCTCCTCCTCCTCCTCCTCCTCCTCCTCCTGTCTCATCCTCCCTCCTCCTCCTCCTCTCTCCTCCTCCTCCTCCCTCTATCCTCCTCCTCCTCCTCATCCTCCTCCTCCTCCTCCTTCCTCCTCCTCCTCCTCCTCCTCCTCCTCCTCCTCCTCCTCCTCCTCCTCCTCCTCCGCCTCTCTCCTCCTCCTCCTCCTCCTCCTCCTCCTCCTCCTCCTCCTCCTCCTCCTCCTGCTCCTCCTCCCCCTCCGCAGGGGCACGGTGTCGTATCCTGGCACCGGCGCTACCTCAAGCGGAGGGCACACTGTTAGGGAATTGGCCCAAGTTTGCGGAGACAAGCAGGCGGCCGTTGTTTTGCGTGGTGGAGGGTTCGACCCCCTCTCATCACGATGGTTTCTTACAGTCAGGTGTGGCACATGTTTGCCCTCCTGGGTCTGCGTAGCCGGCCCGCAGGATCAGGGTCGGCGCAGCGGGGTCCGCGGAATCAGGACCTGTGTCGTCTCCAGAGGCGAGGATTTCGATTATTCGCAGCATCACCGGAGCGGCACATCGCCTCAAGGAAGGCGGCCGCGAGTGGGCCAGGCGACTTGCCCTTGTCCCGTTCCGTCGCACTTATTTGCCTAAGTACTCCCTTCGGGGATGCGACTTTCGTTGTCGCTCATGCACAGTTCCCACAGTTCCTCCTGCTCCTCCTCCTGCTCCTCCTCCTGCTCCGCCTCCTCCTCCTCCTCCTCCTCCTCCTCATCCGCCTCCTCCTCCTCCTCCTCCTCCTCCTCCTCCTCCTCCTCCTCCTCCTCCTCCTCCTCCTACCGGGGACGTGAGCCCCTTCTGGCGGTGCGCACAAGAATGTAGGGGGAGGGGGGAAGGTTTCTTAGAAGGAGCCTACTTCTAAGAAGGCGCCGGCTATAGATCTCTAGGCAAGGCCCGCACCTTCTAAGAAGCACGGGTGCTTCTGAGAAGGCTTCCCCCCTTCCCCAACCCCCCTCTGCGCGTGGCCGACTCTTCACAAGAGGCCGAATCCTCCACGAAGACTGCCAGTGGAGGTCTTCCAAACGGGATCTGGGCAGATGGGGTCGGAGGATCGCGCCGCATCGCCAATGCATCCCTAATATATCGGCGATGCATCGGCGACGTCGGCGTGGAGAAAAATCGGGATCCACATCGAGCCGCATCGCCAATGTATCTACGCTAGATGTTCCTTCTGGGGACCTTCCTGGAGCCACTCGCTCCACTCATGCGTCGATGCTGCGGTGAACCATCCAGCGCCTTGAGTCGAACTGGAGCCGAGCTAGAAGCGAACAGATCCATTCGGTGGGCCCCGGGAAGGCCCCCAAGACTAACACCTATGACATCCGCCTCTTGCCCAAAGAAGCGGTGGTGGACCATCGGGCCACGGGGGAAACTCGAAGTTACCGACACCCCTACTCCCTGGGCCTCTCCCTGGGCGCATTCTGACTGGAACCTCGAGGCGAATCTGGCCGTGGCGACGAGGGCCTCCCGGGAGGCCTGAGTATCGTTTAACCGATCCCCATCCCCAGCGGCGTGGCCTGGGCCCCACTGGCCGATTTACACCCCTGGGTGGGGATGTAGGTCGTTCCCTTCGGGTTTCGAGGGGTGTATCCCCAACTGGGGTGGTAATTTGGTGGGGGCCTCGAAGGGGATGGGGACGGGGATGGGGATCGGTCAGACGACACCGAAGGCCGGCAACAAGGCGAAGACGAGGCCAAGGGCAGCGGCAGCGGCACCCCTGTCCTCCCCGGAGAGGGCCACGCGCCTCGCGCATGTACTTCCGGGCGACCGCGTCGTGGTCCGCGAGCTGCCTCGGGGGCGCCCCCGGAGAGGGAGGCGTCCAAGAGAGAGGCTCACTGCTCGTGGCCCGCGGCATGTGCACGGCCCAGGGGAGCCAAGGGGCACAGGAAAGAAGAAGAGGCGACAGGAAGTCGGGGAAGAGATCATGTCCCCGGTCATGGTACCCACCATGATTGACCAAAACAGGGCCCCTAACCCTTCGGTAGGGGACCTAAGTTGGGCGGGACACTAGGGATAAGGGGGTCTTTTTTGCCAGCGTATCGAGCCCAACCGCCCAAAATGTCCATCCCGACTGCGAACAATGGGGACCTCGGCGAGGCCACGTCTTCCTCGTGTTAGTAGGGTTGGGGGTTCTGTTGTGCTCAATGACACCACCCCCTGTTCATCACCCCCCTCTTGGCCGCCCCCGACTGCCGCACGCAGGCGCAGGCGTCCGCCGCGATCCGGAAGAAGGCGTCGCAGGCCGCGCAGGCGGGCGCGCCCAGGGCCTGCGCGACGATGGCCAGCAGGGCCTCGACGCCGTCCTGGCAGCAAGGCTTTTCGCGGGGAGTGGGCCGGGCCAGCCTCCTCCTCCTCCTCATCCTTATCTCCGCCTTATCCTCCTCCTCCTCCTGCTCCTCCTCCTCCTCCTCCTCCTCCTCCTCCTCCTCCTCCTCCTCCCCCTCCTCCTCCTCCTCGCCCTCCTGGTCGTCGTCGATGTCTGTCAGGGTCGGCGGCGCTGGCCGTCAGGCCTTCACAATCGGACCGAATCGAGATGGCGGGTTCGGGAAAACGCTGAACCAAAACCTGTTGCCGTCTCTCGGGCAGGGTCAGGGACGCACTGGCCCGGGTCGACGCAGGCTCGGGTCGGTCAGGCCTTGCAGGATTCTGCATGATGCTGCAGGATCCTGGAGAAGGCCCTGCGCCCTGCCCTGGGTCAGTGCGCCCCTGGCCCTGCAGGATCCTGCAAGATCGGGGGCCCTGGCTGACCCCCGTTTGCATTGACCCCCGTCCCCTGAGCCCCGATAGGGCCGTCGGATCGGGCTGCATCGGGGCGGAGTCGGGATCGAATCCGATCGGCTGCGCCAGGATGCACAACAGCGCCATGCAAACATCGGGTCGCATCTGATTGACCAGAAAAGGTCTCCTAACCCTTTCAGGAGGGGACCTAAGTTAGGAGTGCCAGGAACATCACGGATAGGGGGTATTGCCTGCAGATGTACCAAGCCAAACCGCCCAAATGTATGATCCCGAATGTGAAGACGGGGACCTCAGTGAGGCCGCGTCTTCATCGTGTCATTCGGGTTAGGGGTCCTTTTGTTCTCAATGAGCATCAGGTCGTCGGAGAATAGGAATCGAATCGGACCGGGCCAGCCAAAACCCAAATCGAAACGGATCGCTCGGATCGAAAAATGGACCCGTGAGGAGGAGGAGTGCGGAGCGCGGCCATCCCTGCTCGACGCCACGATGCCGCAGCAGCAGTGCGAAGCGAGAGGTCGCCAAGCGAGTCAGGAGTGCACGAATCGAGAAGACCTGAATCCCACCAGCCCCCTGGGCGTCGGTGGTTTAGAGCTTTTTCTCTTCCACTCCTCCTTCCTCCCCTTTCGGGGAGGGGTCTACCCCATCCCCCTACCCCCTCCCCTGGACCTGGACTGGGGGGTTCGCGAGTCGTCGGAGCGTCCAAAACGGCCTCGGCGAGGAAGCCACAATCATTGGTTTTACTAAGATTGTGGCTCCACTATGGCCTCCTGATGGGGGGACTGTAACCTACCCTAGCTTAGCTTAGCTGAGCTCATTTCATATTAGCTTAGTTTAGCTTAGCCGAGCTGAGCTGAGCTTAGCTTTGCCTAGCCTAGCTCAGCTTAGTTTAGCTGAGTTTAGTTTATCATATACTACCTTAGCTTAGCTTAGCTTAGTTTAGCTTAGCTTGGCTTAGCCTAGTTGAGCTTAGACTAGCCTAGCTTAGCTTAGTTTAGCTTAGACCCGCATAGCTTAGCTTAGCTTAGTTTAGCTTAGCGCAGCGCAGCGTGGCATAGCGCAGCATTGGAACAGCATAGCATTGCATAGCATAGCATAGCATAGCTCCGCATGGCATAGCATAGCATAGCTCCGCATAGCATAGCATAGCACATCATAGCTTCTGCTTAGCTTTAGCTTAGCTCTAGCTTAGTGTTAGCGTAGCATTAAGTTCGTTTCATATCAGCTTTAGCTTAGTGTTAGCTTAACTTCAGCTTAGCTTCAGCTTAGCTTCGCTGCTACTACTAATGCTGCTTTCCTAGGGGCCCCAACTCCTATGTAGGGTCGCACTGGGATAATTATATTACCAGCCGCAGGCGAGCGCGCCGACGGCGTGTCAAGGTCCGAGCGGGCCGCGCGAGGGCCTGAATTACCTAGCACAAAACAGGCCTGCCGCCGCAACTTTGGCCGAGACCTGGAGGTGGCCGAGGGGAAAGAAGCAGGGGCTGGTGGGGATACTTTTTGGTCGCGGCCGCGGGCGAAAGCGCACGGCGTGTCGTAAGTCCGGGGCGCGGGCCTACTAATTGACAACAGCAAACTAGAGCCGCCAACCTAAACTGCCTAAGCGGACTAAGGTGCGCCTCGCGTGAGCTGCAAGCTGCGCTGAGTGTGGATACCGAGGCCAGGAGGCTGGTGGGGATACTTTTTTGGTTGGCGGCTCCCTGGCGAAGGTCAAGAAGCGGGGCAACGAACGGGGCGCGAAACGAAGATAATTGGCCGCAGTGGCGTATGCACATGCAAGGGACAAAATGACCCTCATTAAGACGCCAGCGGCGTCGGCAGGTGACCGGCACAGACATCCCAGCAGATGGGGACGCCAGAGGCGCGGCGACCGGCGGCGGAACGGGAAGGAGAAGTCGCCCTTACGGCGCCAAGCTCCAGCCGAACCACATACGGAGGCGGGGCCAAGACGGAGAAAAGAGAGGGCGGAGAGAGCGAGCGCGAGCGACTAGAATTTCGGGTTGGGGGGGGGACGGGTTCCATATGCGTTTTTCAATATTCCCGACCCCCCACACACTGGAAATGGAGGGTAAATTGAAGCCTGCGGGTTGTGTTGGGGTGGCTTGGTGGTGGGTGGTGACGACCTGCGATGGGCAAGCTCACGCAGCACCCGTGGCCGATGAGAACACGAGCGCGCTGCCAACAAGTAGCACCACTCTGGCTGGCCACGCCACCTTATCGCGACGACGCGTCGGCGCTGGCTTCTGGCACCGCGTGGGACCGTTCAGCCTTGAGCGCTCGCGGCTTGTTCGATACCGCACGCATCGTTTTCGGCCGATTCCGGACCACTGGCATGTGTAGACCCTCGTCGTCGAGGTCGTCGCCGTCGTCGTGTTTGTCGCCGCCGCCGTCGTCGTCGTCGTCGTCGTCGACGTGTTTGTCGCCGACGCCGTCGTCGTCGCCGCCGACCGGAGGGGCGAGGCTTGAGCGCCTCGCCAACAGGGGCAGGGGGCCTCTGGAGACCGCCCGGCCGAGAGCCGGGACGTGGAGAGGCAGCGCGGTCGAGGCGAACGCCTCCCCGTGCGGCACCCCAGAGGATGCAGAGCAGAGGCGGCGCGGCACCCGACGCTCACCGTGCTGCCTGTCGGCCTGCCCTTGTCACCGAGAGGCCTGTGACTCTGCGGCGCGGGCGGTGAGGCAGCTGCCGGGAGCCACGGCCACCTCGCCGAGGGAAGAAGAACAAGAGCGGCGGCGTAGCCTGAGGCCGGGCATGTCCTCCTTCAGGCGGCCTTTGGAAGAAACATTAAACCGAAGATTAGCCAACAAGAATGAAAAGTAGTCGAAAAATCGTCCCCATAATATGTTTGACCATTTTTGAACATTCCTCCTGCAGAGGGACATGCTCGACTGAAGCGTAGCCGCGCTAAGATCAGCCTCCGAATCCTGGCGGGTTGAGGCGTGCTAGAACTTCAGGAAAGGCTGCCCGGTAGACTGTGAGTCTTCCAAGGGTAGACCACCACCCCGCACGACACGACTGCTTGCGTGCACCAGCCCTCTCAAGTGAGGCTTCCTGGACGGCCCGACAACTCCCTGGTGCCTTCCAACTCTCTCGAAGGCTTCTACAACGGCCTGGAACGGTCACGAAGACTGCCAAGATGGCTTCACATTGCCTCAAGGCACGTCCTCAACAACTTCTACGACTGTCACTACTAGCACTACCACTACCCTGGATCATCGTCTTCGTTATTAGCATCCTCATCATCCGTTCCACCTCAGCCCTCCTCCTCCTCCTCCTCCTCCTCTTCCGCTTCCTCCTCCTCCTCCTCCTCCTCATGTTCCTCATCATGATTGCCGTTATCACCTACAGCATGATCACCCTCACCACAACACCATCCTCAGCGTCCCCATCATCATCCTCGCCATCATGAGCATAGCCATGCATTCAAGCAGTTGTTCGTTCTCTTAGAAGAAGAAAGGACGGCATAAACATAACTGTTGGCGCTCCACGCGGATATCTTGGATCCGCGCTGGACACTCCTCCCTGGCGCGCGGAGCGCGCCAGGGGCGGCGCCGGAAACGCCGCCAAAAGGGCCCAGCGCGGATTCAAGAGATCCGCGCGGAGCGCCACAAGTTTATGTTTATGGCGTTTCTCCTTCTTCGAATGCATTCGATCAGTCGTTCGTTCTCCTGGACGGGAGGCGTCCTGGAAGGTGACGATCATCCGCACGTCGCCGTGCTCCCGGGTGACCAGCCGCAGGAAGTGCACGCACTCGGAGCACAGAGCGGCGAAGCCCTGGATGGCGTCCTGTTCGGTAGGGACCCTACGCCTCCTCCTCCTCCGCATCCGCCTCCTCCTCCTCCTCCTCCTCCTCTGCCTCCTCCTCCGCATCCCCATCCTCATCCGCCTCCTCGTACTCATCCTAATCATCCTAATCATCATCATCATCATCATCATCATCATCATCATCATCATCATCATCATCATCATCATCATCATCATCATCATCATCATCATCATCGGCATCAGCATCAGCATCAGCATCAGCATCATTAGCATCAGCATCATCATCCATTCATCCATTCATCCATTCATCCATTCATCCATCATCCATCAGCAGCAGCATCAACATCATCAGCATCAGCATCATCATCATCATCATCATCATCATCAGCAGCATCAGCATCATCAGCATCATCATCAAAATCAGTATCATGATCATCATCAGTATCATCATCAGCAACAGCAGCAGCATCATCATCATCATCATCTTCATCATCATCATCATCATCATCATCATCATCATCATTATCATCATCACCATCATCATTTTCATCATCATCAGTATCACCCTCATCACCACCATCAGCATCAACATTATCAGCATCATCAGCATCATCATAGTCAGCATCATCATCATCATCATCACCATCATTATCGTCAGCAGCATCATAAGCATCATCATCATCGAAAGCATCAAGATCCGCATCATCGCCATCATCAGCAGCAGCAGCATCATCATCATCATAATCGTCGTCATTATCATCACCACCACCATCATCACAATCATCATCATCAGCAGCAACATCAGGGTCGTCATCATTAGAATCATCATCATTAGCATCATCATCGTCGGCGCTATCATCATCCCATTCAGAATCATCAGCAGCATCATCATCAGCCGCAGCAGTATCATCATCATCATCGTCACCATCATCAGCATCATCAGCAGCATCATCACCAGCTGCAGCAGCAGCAACAGCAGCATCATCATCATCATCATCACCACCACCATCATCAGCAGCAGAATCATCCGGGCCCCGTCCTGATCCGCTGGGCAATCCAAGGCCCAGGGAGAGCCCCCAGAGGTCTGCAGGATCAGCATCAGCGAGGAGATGCACGCCGGGTCGCTCAGGCGGCTGGCGAAGACCTCGTCTGGCCCGCGGGCGACGCGCACACAGAACACACGGCATCAAATTCCGGAAGTTCGGGCATCAAGAGAGCCAGGCGCCAGGCCTGGGAGCCCTGTGGATCGACGAAGCGCTCGGAGAGCCCTCAGGAAGCTCTGGACCCCCGACGGCTCGGTTCCCCCGCGCCGAAACCCGCGCCGGCGATGAGACACCCCGGCACGATGGGTTGCGGGGCACATGCTCGATGCAGCGCTGACCTCCCCAGGTGCTCCTGGATCTCCGATCAAGCCCCTCGGAGTCAGAGTACGGCAGGTTCGGGTCGTGACGACCCCTGGTTTCTGACACTGCGCGGATCGCTCAACCTTGAACGGTCGGCAGCATTCCGCTCGCCAGATTTCTCCATAGTGGCCGATATACTGGGTCACTGGCGGCGCTCAACCCTGAACAACCGCGCTGGGGCTACAGCAGAATCGACACGGCAACGCGAACCTGCTGTCGCCGAGACCGCCCGCCTGCGTGGGTCCGAAAAGGAACGTTACGATTATGCCGGTTCCTTTCTGCCGTGTTTTTCTTGCCGGTTGCGGCCGCCCCCCTGTCCTCTCCCATTTTCGCGCATTGTGACACAATTCGCTAAACGGTGTCCCCGTTTTTAGCTCCTTACGCCAGCGCAGACGACCCCTCCCGAGCCGCTGACGCAAAAACTTGTTGATGCGGTCCCATCGCCGATGTTTCTCCGGTCCCGGTTCCGCGGGTCCAACCCTGCAGAGCCACCCCGGAGCCTGTTCCATGTTGCTGCTTCCGGTCGCCTTTTTTTGTTGCCGCTTCCGTCGCCGCTTTCTCTCTGGCTCCGGCTCAGGCTCCCATCCCAGCGCCGTTTTTTCGGGGATGGACAGAACCCCCTTTAGTAAAACGTGGTTTAGTGAAAACGACCTGAGGCCCAAACCTGGCGGGCGCAAGCCTGGAAAGTAACGGCCGCGGCGCCCTCTCGAGAACCGAAAACGGCCAATTCACTAATCGACGTGTCACTGTTGGGGGTTCTGTCCAGCCCCGATTGTTGCCGCGTCCGTGCTCCAAAGAGGCACGCTTCGCGGAGGACGTGGCACCATGCGGCCCTGCCGCTGCTCCTTCGGGGCCCCCGGCCCGGTGGCCCGACGATCGGGGGAGGGAAGCCTCGGCCTGGAATCATCGGCGAGTCCCCGCCGAGAGATCGGTGGCATAGGCCCCCGAGGGCACCTGCGCACGGCTCTGGGCGGGAGGGGGGCTCTCGGGGCCCTCTCGGCCACGGCTTCGGGGGCGCGCAGACGTGGATTCGCGCTCCCTGGATGCGGAAGTCCGCGATTGCCCCTGGAAACGGGGCTCGTCGCTAGAGACCCTTTTTTGGGGGGGGGAATCGGCGCTAACCCGGGTCATCCCGGGGAGGGGAGGAGGGGGCCGGCCGATAACCTAACCCTCGCGCTGTGGGCAGCCCTGCATATGCCCGCGCCCCCCCCCCCCCCCCCTCGCGCGGACCTGCACAACCAGCAAGGTTAGATTATCCTGGGGGGGGGGGGGGGGGGGGGCAAGCCCGAGAACCCGGGTTCTCGCCCGACCCTAACAAAAACAGTCTCCTAATCCACGGCCCCCTTGATCCATGTTTGCGATCGCCAGAAGATCGTGGTCGACACACACACACACACACCCGAGCCTATCCCCCGCGACGCCTCCCCTTGGGCAACTCGGCCCTGCGGCGGCCGCTCCGAGCGAGCCGGGGCACCCCGGCGGCGCCCTCGGCGAGAGGCGCCGCTGCCCGAGAGCACCCCGAAGCTGGGAGAGCGCCAAGAGCCGACGAGAACGCCGAGGAGGAGGAGCAGGAGGAGGAGGAGGAGGAGGAGGAGGAGGAGGGGGGAGGAGGACGAGGAGGGGGACGCCCTCGGCGAGAGGCGCCAAGAGCCGACGAGAACGCCGTGCAAACCGCGACATGCAAAACGCCGCCCGTCCTCCCCAGAGCCTTGGAGGCGGCCCAGGGAGTCTGAACTGGGTGCGAATCCAGAACATCACTCAGGAGGGGGGTGGGTGAGGCTAAATCCGCTCGAAATCGGTCCCCGCCGGCTCTGACTGCAACAGGATGTCTGATGTCCTCGAAGCAGTAAAGAAGAAAAACACTATAGTTGAAAGAAGGCGCCGACAAGCGCATACTTGTTGAGAGGATGTTGTTGAAAGAAAATCGGTCCCTGGACACATCCCGGGTCGATCTGGTACAGGTGTTCACCCCGGATCCATTGTCGATGAATCCCAGAGCCCGGACACGGGCCCCAGAGGCCGAAAACTCCAACAGACCCTCCCGGATCCAAGGTCTCACACCTCGCCCCCCTGTCCTGCTGGCTGGCACCGGTGCTGGGCCACCACAGGCCCCCGGCCGGCCCCACCCCGAAGCATTGCAAAAAAAACTTTGTTTTTTTTTGCAATTCTCCCCACTTGAACGAAGGATTGCAAAAAAAACCTTGGGTTTTTTTTTTGCAATCCTTTTTTTGCAATTTTCCCCACTTGAACGAAGGATTGCAAAAAAAACCTTGGGTTTTTTTGCAATCCTTTTTTTGCAATCCTTGTTTTTTTTGCAATTCTCCCCACCGCGCTGCCCCGGAGGATCGGCGCGCGGCAGGGGGGCGGAGGGGGGTGCAGCGGCGCGCTCCACGGCCAGGGCCGAGAGGGGGCGGGGCGCCACCCTCCGAGAGCAGCGCGCGGAAGCATTGTGGCCGTCCCCGCGGCGCCCAGCAGCGCGCCCCAGTCGCGTAGACAGCGGGCAGGAAGCATCTCCCAACCGCATGCAGTAGTCTTTGGGCGTTTTGTTGGGCGTTGTCTTGGGCGTGTTCTTGGGCGTTTTGATGGGCGTTTTCGTGGGCGTTTGCTAAGCGTATTCTGGATCGTTTTCTTGGTCGATGTGGGGTGCTGATTGGGCGTTTTCTTGGGCGCTGGTGGGCGCTATGGAGCGCGGCGCCATGGGGCGCCGCTCGCCGACATACATGCCATCCAAGACGCTGAGATTCCTGTGGTTTCCTGCATCACCGACCCCGTTGGGCGGGGCCCGAAAGGTGCCAGAAACCCGTGCGAGACGTCCAGAAAACACGCCGCACACGACTCGTTGCCTTCTCGCGCGCTTCGCCTCCGGCGGGCTCCTCTGAAGCCTCAGCACGGCTCCAGGATGGTGCAGGAGAGCCCCCGGAAGGGGCGCCCTTGGGGGAACGAAAAGGTATCGGTTCGGGACATCTCCTGGGATGCATCCTGACCCGGATTTCGAAGCGGATCCATCCGTGGTGACGAGGGCTCTCCAGGACGAGCAGCGGCATCGGCACATGTTCCTCCTCTGAGCTCGTCATGCCGTCGTTGGGGCCCAACTGGCAAGGAGGAGGAGGAGGAGGAGGAGCTTCCCAGTGAGCTCAAAGAGAAGCTATGCCGATGCCGAAGGCGGGTGAACGCTCTCTCGCTCTTCCCCCCCACCCCCTTGCACGTGCACGGGGGACGTGTGCTGTCTTCGCATCTCTCTCTCTCTCTCTCTCTCTCGTTCTCCTGTCAGCTTGGGCTTCGTAATTACCTGTGAGCCCTCAGGTTGCCGAGCGAGCGAGCGAGCGAGCGAGAGAGGCCCACGCTTGCTGCCGACCGCAGGATGGCAGCGGAAGCCGATGGGAAGCCGAGCTGCAGTAGGGCGACAAACATCCACACGCCTCCACTGCTCCCTTCGGGTCGGGCGAAAGGGGGGGATAGCAAAGGGGGGGTTTGAGAATCAGCTCACGTAGCTGATTTTCCCGGCGCCTCCCGGCGCCAGAGGCGGCTATGTATCGAGAAATGGCCCCCACGGTGAGGCCGAAACCAGCTGCATGCAGCAAATTTCGTAACCCCCCCTTTCCCAATCCCCCCCTTTCGCCCGGCCCGATCCCTGGCCAGGCCCATCCTGAGCCCAGCAGCGGTGTCTACGCCACGCCCTCCTGGCTTGGCCCGGAGGGCGTGCACGCAGCTCCGGGGCCCAGGAGGGGCCTGGCCCAGGGAGCAGCAATTCGAGGCGCGTGGACTCTCGTCGCCCGAGCAGGATGCCAGGGGATGGGCACGCAGGATCGGAGGTCGAGCTAAGAGGAAACCTGGGAGCGCAGTGCCTCGTCGATCCCGAAGGTCTCAGGGTGCCCCCCCCCAGGGCAACCCCCGCTGCCGTGGCCCCCGGAGGAGCCATCGTGCGAGGAGCACTTTATGACGCGGGGCGCCTGCTGGCAGCCCGATGCCTTTAAAAGGAGCCCTGGGACACACACACACACACACACACACATATATATATATATATATATAAACATATCAAATCCCAGGATGTCATATTTTCCCATGCTTCTTGGATTTCCGTTTTCCCCCCCACTTCCCATATGTTCCCATATTTTCCTGGGAGTCGAGGATGCACTGTGTCTGTGTGTGTTCTTTCCCTCCTGAGCCCTATTCGATGCACATACTGTACAGAGGATGGGCACGGAGGAAGCAGGGGCGCCCCCGCACTCCTGGGGATCCCAGTGGGGCTGTCTTGTGATAGGCAATCTCCCTGGGGGCACCTGCGGGCAGGCCGACCCCATATCTGGTGCACCTGCTGCACAGAGGAATGGGCACGGAGGAAGAGACCCAGACGTTTTTGCCCCTCGGCGGCGGGGCAGATCGGGGCTGGACAGACCCCCCTTCAGTAAAACGTGGTTTAGTGAAAACGACCTGAGGCCCAAACCTGGCGGGCGCAAGCCTGGAAAATAACGACCACGGCGCCCTCTCGAAAACCGAAAACGGACAATTCACTAATCGACGTGTCACTGTTGGGGGTTCTGTCCACCCCTGAAATGGGCACGGATGAAGAGACCCAGACGTTTTTGCCCCTCGGCGGCGGGGCAGAGGCAGTCCGCACCAGCGCGAGGCTAATTAATAGGGGCAACCCAGAGGCGCGAAGTGTCCGGGGCGCGGAGGGGAGCCCCGACCTCCGAGGTCGTGCTCTCTTCTTCAGTGCGTGGCCCCCGAGGTCCCGACCCCTCCCCCCAGGGCAGGTGCTTCCAGCCCGCATCGGCCTCCTGCGCCCCAGGCCAGGGGCGAAGGGCCCCGGGGGGAGGAGGAGGAGGAGGAGGAGGAGGAGGAGGAGGAGGAGGAGGAGGAGGAGGAGGAGGAGGAGGAGGAGGAGGAGGAGAGAGGAGGAGGAGGAGGAGGAGGAGGAGGAGGAGGAGGAGGAGGAGGAGGGAGGAGGAGGAGGAGGAGGAGGAGGAGGAGGAGGAGGAGGAGGAGGAGGAGGAGGAGAGGAGGAGGAGGGGGAGGAGAGGAGGAGGAGGAGGAGGAGGAGGAGGAGGAGGAGGGGGAGGAGGAGGAGGAGGAGGAGGATCGCTCCACGGCGGTGGCACGCCTGGGGAGGCAGAGGCGAGGAGGTCGCCGGACGTTGCTGGTGTGCGGGTACACGCGGCGGAGGAGCGCCAGGCCCTGCGTCTGGGAGTCGACGTCCTCGATCTGCAGGAGCTTGATCATCGCCTTCCCATTCTCCGTGTGGCGCACCTGCGGTCGGGAACTCTTGCTCAGCGTGTCGCGGCGGCGGCGGCCAAGCTACGGCCTGCGAGCCGATAGCGCGTCGCTGCAAATCGCGGGGCGGGAGGCTGGGAAAGGCTCGGGACTTTGACACTGCGGGGCTGGGAGGTGGTTAGCGCGTCGCGCCAAAGCGTGGTGGACCACAATCGGCGGCGCGACACGCTAACCACAGCTGCCGACCGTAAAGGGGAACAGAAGACTAGGGGCATTAGGCCGCGACGAGTTGTGCTTGCGTGGTCCTCGCTGCCAGGAATCCCACCAGCCCTTTGGGCGTGAGTGGTTTAGGGAGCTCTCTCTGTTCTCAACCCCCCTTCTTCCCCTTCGGGGAGGGGTTTACCCCTCCCCCTACCCCCTCGCCTGGACCTGGAGAGGGCGGGCCGAGCGTTCTCAGGGGGGTCCATTTCGACTCCTGGGAGGGCCAAAAAACGACGACCCTCACGAGGATTCTGGCCCCGACGGGGGGGGGGAGTTTGGCCCCTCTGCTCGTCTTTGAAGCAGAAATCATTGATTTAACCGGGGTTTGGGCCCCATTTTGGCCTTCTGAGGGGGCCGCGCTCATCTTCCCTCATAGCAAAATCATTGATTTCACGAAGGTTTTGGGCTCATGTTGTCCTTCTCAGGGGGCAGCTCTCATTTGCGCTTCTGAGGAGGTCGCAAGAGGACCCAAGATGGCCCCAAGAGGCCCCCAGGAGGCTCCCAAGAGGCCTCCAAGAGGCCCCCCAGAGGCCCCCAAGCGGCCCCAAGAGGCCCCCAAGAGGCCCCCAAGAGGCCCCCAAGAGGCCCCACGAGGCCCCAAGAGGCCCCCAAGAGGCCCCCAAGAGGCCCCCAAGAGGCCCCACGAGGCCCCAAGAGGCCCCCAAGAGGCCCCCAAGAGGCCCCCAAGAGGCCCCCAAGAGGCCCCACGAGGCTCCAAGAGGCCCCCAAGAGGCCCCACGAGGAGCCCGAACGACTCACATCAGGACGAGGGGCCCGAACGACTCACACCACGAAGAGCCCGAACGACTCACACCACAAGGAGGGGCCCGAACGACTCACACCAGGACGAGGCGCCCGAACGACTCACACCACGAGGAGCCCGAAGGACTCACACCACGACGCGGGCCCCGAACGACTCACACCACGAGGAGCCCGAACGAGTCACACCAGGAGGAGGGGCCCGAACGACTCACACCAGGATGAGGGGCCCGAACAACTCACACCACGAGAAGCCCGAACGACTCACACCAGGACGAAGAGCCCGAACGACTCACACCACGAAGAGCCCGAACGACTCACACCAGGAAGAAGGGCCCGAACGACTCACACCAGGACGAGAAACCCCAAACGACTCAAATCACGAGGAGCGCTTTCTCTCCCTCCTCCTCCGCCTCGTCCTTCTCCCGCTCCCCCACAAGGAGGATGTACAAGGAGGCGGGAGGAAGGAGGAACAGGGGAGATATGCGGGGCCAAGCGGACACACGCCTGAAAAACACGACTGTCGGCATGCTTCGCGAGAGTTGCTGCTGTGAGATGGGCTGGTGGGGATACGCGAAGCGTAAAGAATTTCAGCATCCTGCCCGCCGTGATCGGAGACGGCAAGTTCATGCCCCGCCGACGTGGGCCTTGGTCTATGACACTGCGTGCATCGTTCAACCCTGAACGATTTCCGATCTCGGAGGTCCCACAAGGCTGTCGACCAGCACCTTTCGCACGGACTTTGCGCCGTGCGCTGATTTCTCATTGCGGACCATATTTGTATCCAAACTCGGCGCGTCTCGGTTCCCTAACAGCCCAAGACGCAATGGTTATGGATATCTTATGGCCTCTAGCGAGACCATATTGCTATCCACATCCACTTAGTCTCGGGATTCCACTCCCCCAGACATCCAAAACGCCGTGAGCATGGACAATAAACCTTGCCCGCGCGGATGGCGGGCCCTGGAAGTCCTGAACCAAAACATCTCACCATCTCTTGGGAGGCCGATGCTCGATGCCCACGTCCGCCAGCGTCCGCCGGCTTCTCCTGGCGGAGGCGGCCTCATCTTACCTCCGCCGCCCTCCCGCCGAGGAAGAGATGGCGACCCCCTGGATCCTCGAAGGCAAGGGCCTGCCTGGAGCGCGCCCGACATGGCCCCAGGGCCCGCCACGAGCCCCCAACTCGGGTCGGGCGAAAGGGGGGGATAGCAAAGGGGGGGGTTGAGAATCAGCTCACGTAGCTGATTTTCCTGGCGCCTCCCGGCGCCGGAGGCGGCTGTGTACCGAGGAATGGGCCCCTCGGTGAGGCCGAAACCAGCTGCATGCAGCAAATTTCGTAACCCCCCGTTTCCCAATCCCCTCCTTTCGCCCGGCCCGACCAACGCGTGTGCAACCCCCGGGGTGCCCGCGCCGGCGTCGCCGCCGCGCCGCGGGCCGGCCGAGGGCGCCCGTTTCGTGGAGGGCCGCCCTCCGGATGCCACGCGCCGTCATCGCCGGTCTGCCAACTGCGCTCCTCGCCGTCGCTCGGACGCGCATTCCCCGCGAGTGTGTCGGCCTCGCGCGCGCACTGCTGCGCAAGATGGCCTTATAAATGCTCCTCCCTGGCCCTCGCCGAGAAAGAATGCACACGTCTGGGCGATGCCGAGGCGCAGCCGTGGCCACCCCCGGAGAAGGCCGAGAACTCCACCTCGAGGCGCCTCCACGGACCCGTTCTTCCAGAGGCGCCGACGTCGTGACTTTGGGGAGACCACAAGGTGCCTCTACCGCTCCTCCCCGGACCTCTCCCGGTGTGCGCTCTGACCAGAGTCTCGAGTCGAATCCAGCGGTGGCGGCGAGGGCCTCCCAGGAGGCCCCAAGAGGGGAAAACGGAGGAAGGGCAGCGGTATGGGCACCGCTTCCTCCTCCGAGCCGACGTCGCGACCTTGCTCACAGCACGCGACCTCGCGACCTCGTCCCTGCCCGGGGCCGGCTGTACGTCCGAGTGCCGCGCGTGGCTCTCCGACGGCCCCCGAGGGCCCGACAGAAGCGGCCCCAACGGCCCCCCGAGGCCGAGCGCACGCCGAAGAGAACCACTACTACTGATACTACTACTACTACTACTACTACTACTACTACTACTACTACTACTACTACTACTACTACTACTACTACTACTACTACTACTACTACTACTACTACTACTACTACTACTACTACTACTACTACTACTACTACTACTACTACTACTACTACTACTACTACTTACTACTTACTACTACTACTACTACTACTACTACTACTACTACTACTACTACTACTACTACTACTACTACTACTACTACTACTACTACTACTACTAC